GCCGTGGGGGGGGGGGGGGGGGGGGGAAGGTAAACAAATCAGTATTTAAAAAATCACAATTCACCGTATGAAAGAGTCTCCGGAGAAAGACTCGTTGAGTCTAGGTGCAGAAGAGTAAATTCCCTCACTTCCGCCGTGAACCACGAAGGCATTGCCCTTTCTCACGAACTGCTCCCCGAAGTATTCATGTATTGAAGCTTCAATGCACACGCCAAATAGCGTGATAGATAAGGAGAAAAATGTAACTCGATAATCCAACCTCACCATTGTTATTTTTGCGACTCACTTCAACTCAGTGAGTCTACAACAATGGAGAGATATTGACTGCGGGAGTGAGTGGCAAAAGATAAGACTAGTGAGTGCAGTCAAGTGTGTTAACTATGGTTACTTATTGACTCATCAAAGAACAGCTGTAAATGATACACTGTGACGCACGTACGTCATGCTACATATGCACCCAATTGAAACCCAATTTGGATTACGGTGCAACAATTCAGCATTAATTGTGCTACACGTCCACTGATGTACTCGCCCCCTTACGAGGCTTCACGTTTTTCTTTTCCTTTTTATTGGGCATAGATTCCTCCCGCATGTGAAGGGCATGTACAGATACGTATTTACAAATAGCAAAATTCATTAAGCATACTCACAATAAGGAAATGAAAAGATTTTTTTGGCCTTTTTTATTTACATGGATTCCACATGAACCACACTCTCTCGTGAGTATTGATCAACAAAAATGTCAAATTCTTTCTAGTAAATTTTAATAGAAATTGATAAAATATGTAGTTGAAAAGTTATGAAATCCATAAAATATACTAAAATTAATTATTAATTTTAACTTAAATTTTAATTCATACCAAATAGGAGCTACATATATTTAATGTAAAATATCATTGTTAGGTATCATAATTCATAACTAACTAAAATTTGAGTCTATGGCGAATTGAGGAGGGATTGGACTGGATTAGCCAATTTCATTTTCATTTTAAGTGTAATTTTATTTTTTATTTTTTGGTACAAGT